CACGCTACATTCTGTTACATGATTGTTACATGTTATACGACTCCACGCTACATTCTGTTACATGATTGTTATATGTTATACAACTCCATTCATGCTCCATTTGGTTTTGTGACTGTGATATTGTTCCATTTACACTACATTCTAGAAAATGCAAACTAATTGAATTTGCACTTTTAGTGCCAGAAAATAGTTGAGGGGTTGCCTGGAGAGGAAAGAGGAGGTGTTATAATGAACACGGTCATTGTCCTGAGCAAGGTGAAAGTTTCATGGGTGTATACATACGTTACATGTCTCGTGTGTCACACGTTCATTTCAGGGGCAGGCCGTAAACACACCCCTGATGAGGAAGCTGGCTCACCTCAAGCTTAACCTGGCCGAAATGTCTCTGGACATGCTTCAGCTGATCTGGGAGGAGACTCTGCAGCAGGACTTAGAGCAGGGCTCCATGGACAGGCTGCTGGCGGACTACCTGCAGGACATACGAGACTACAGCCCTGTAGGCTTGGTGAATATCGAGGCCTCACAGCTAGCTGCCCTGCCCACCAGAGGACTAGCACTGGGAGTACAGGCCTACTGGGAAACCCATCCTCAAACAAGGACGATTGATGGTTGGCCCTCAAAGTTCACGGCCTCTGTCTGTCTTTCTAGCAGATCATTGGAGGGGACTTAATTGGCTAATAAAACAGAGGTCTCGCTGGGAGATGTCTCCCAGGAGACTTTACGGCTTCCCTTTCTGGGTCACAAGTTCGCTTTGCCTCGTTAGGGTAGCATATTAAAGAACTCGATAACAGTAAATTATAATTTTTTTTTTAATGTCAAGTAGAATTTGCAAAATTTCTTTTGTTTCAAAGAAAAAATTTTTCCATTTGAGGCATTGTCTTAGATTTCATAAAGTATGAATAGATTAACATAGTCCTGAAATTGAATTGGATAACTCATAGATTTGTCAGTGAACAAGTTTGCCTAAAGCTTTAATGACCCAGTACCTAAGCCCTGGAGACAACCCCAGCCCAAGGCCCCAGGCAGGTCCTCAGACTTGGGGTATGACTCATAACTTCTGGGGGGCAGTCCTGATGTGCCAGCAGGAAGTGGAGGTGAGGGCAGTGGCATGGTTTGTGCTCTCTAGAAATGGTTCATGCTGAAGCGGACCCTGGCCCACGCCACACTGGCCCAGCTGGGCAGTCTGCAGCCGCTCTGCACCGGCTGTGCTGAGATGCATGCCCGCATGCTGGCCCTGACCGGGAGAGCCCTGCACCTGCTGACCGTGAAAGTGAACCCTGTGCATCCCACCTTCTACTGGGATGAGAGTCTCCAGGTATGTGAGTCCTGTCCAGCTCAGGCTGTGGCCCCACCTAAGAAGGGAAGATGAGGACAGATGAAGCAGTCGGGAGGCAGTATGGGGACATGGGGTCCCTGAGACAGGCCCATGGGGTATTTGGAAGAAGAGAGGGGCTCACACAGGCTCAAAGTACAGGCAAGGACCCACACCTAGTTCCAGTCCCCAACAACCCTTCTGATGCCACTCTCCTTACCTGGGCCCCTGCCTGGAGTGAGACTGGACTTTGGGGTGGTTCTAGTGAGCAGCAGGGGACAGGGGCTACAAAGGAAGTCCCAAAGAACTTGGTGAAGCCCCACTGAAGGCCTTGAGGTCTCAGACCACACACCTCAGCAGAGTCCATCCTTTGGGCCCCCAGGGGATGGCAGCCATGTGGGGGGTCTCCACTCGTGTCCTGTTCTCAGCTGAGGAGTGAGAATGCTCTGGCTGGTCAATGCGTGAGCAGCAGCAGGCCAGGCTGAGAGCTGCTGGCTGAGCTATCTGAACAAAGTCAGGACCGAAATGGCTCTCACACCTGTCTCAGGGGTGGGATGCAGTCAGGTGGGGTGGGGGCATCATGGCTGGTGATGGTGGTGATGGTCACCGTGCCCGGGGTGGGTGTTGGACTCAGTACACAGAGAATCCAGGCCCAGGAACCCCAGGGTGTCAGAGGCAGTGGGAAGCAGGGACCCAAAGATACAAAGCAACCATGGCCCCTCCCAGGAGCCCGAGGCCACCACCCCACCTGGTTCTCTAGGTGGGGGCCAAGCTGAGCAGCCTCAAGTCTCCAGAGGTGGAGGGAGAAGGAGGGGATGTGGAGGAGTGGACCCGGGAGCCGCCAGCCTTCAGGGTGGTACCCGAGGGGCACAGCAAGAAAGGGGTCCACCTGAAGGTACCTAGTTCCCCTCCCCCTCCCCCTGCTCCATCTGCATGAGCCCGAGACCCCCAGCTGAGTTTGACCCCTGGTTCCACAGAAGAGGATGGCACTGGCCCAGCGGTACCTAGCCCAGACATCTGAGGTATTGCTCCAGGGTCTGCGGGCAGCGCTGGGCGCTGGAGTCCTGGACTTGGCAGCAAACATCAGCCTGGAGATGGTGGAGTGTGTGGGCACCCTAGACCCAGCCACCAGCCTCCAGTTCCTGGCACTGTCTCAGGTAGGCAACCAGCATGCGTGGCCAGAAAAGGTGCCCCACAGTCCCCACCTGGGGACCTGTAGAGACTGGCCGGTCTCGGGTCATGTCCCTGTGGGTGCTCCGAAGCCCTGCCCACTATTAGGGCCCTATGTCCCGAGTCCCAAGCGGATGGCCCCTGCAGACCCCTTGATGGTTTCTCCCAGAGCTGCTCAGCCTCAGGTATGATGAAGGAAGTCCTGCTGGCCGCCACGACCAACACCAGCAGCTCGCAGCTCGCAGCCCTGCTGCAGCTGCAACACCGGCTGAAGTCTCAGGGCAGGACCGACACCAGTCTGTTTGCCAGCGTGGAGCAGAGGTTGACCGCCACCTCCAAGGTGATAGACCATGGGGGGCCAGGCCCAGCTGCCCAATGGAGCCCAAAGATGCCCCAGCTTCCATCCCCAAGCAGGCTTATTAACCTACCCACATGCACTCCCTCATCTGGGGCTCCCATGATTGCATTGCATCATCCATGGGAACAGAAACAGGGTGCTCACCTGTGGGGCTGTGAGACACATCAGTGTGCAACCAGAGACTGACTGCATATGAGCACGTGTGTCTGACTGTGTGCATATGCCTTGTGTGTACAGGTATGTGCATGTGTCTGCATGTGCACATGTTCTGCATGTGTGCATGAGTGCCTTGTGTGCACGTATGGCTGCGTGTACATCTCTGACACGTGTATGAGCACATTTCACATGTATATGTGTGTGAAATCTGCATGTATGTGTACACATGCATGCCCGTATGTGTGCATGTCTGTGTGCATATGTCTATGTGGAAGTGGTTTGTGTACATGTTTGTGTGCATATTTGCATGTATGTGTGATACATGTGTCTGCATGTGCACCTGTCTGGGTGTGCATGTGTCTGTATACACATCTTTGTGTGCACACATTTGTGTTGCCTTGTATACATGCACAGTTATATCTTTGGTATGTATCTGTATTCTGCTTGTACATCCATATGTGCACATGTATCTCTGTGGATACATGCTTGTGTCTACATTGTGCATGTGCCTGTACGTTCACATATCTGTGTGCACATCACTTGTGTGTCTGCATGCACGTGTCTGTATGTTCACGTGTGCACATGCTGTGTGTGTGTGTGTGTGCGTGCATGTGTGTCTGCTGGAGGAGGACCAAGGGAAACACTGCACCAGTAGAGGTGGGGGAGGTGGGGCTGGAGAACGTTCGAGGCTTCACTGTGCCCACTTCCTAACTGTCAGAGCTGCTGGCCCAGTGCCTTGTGTGTACTGCCACCCCAGTGGGGCCGGACTCCTTCAGGGCCTTCCGGCAGGGCTCCCATGCCCTCCCGCTACCCGTGTGGGGAAGAAGCCCAGGTCTACACTCTCCATCAGCAGGCCAGAGCCAAGCCCGCTGAAATCCAGTGGTGCACACATCCTGTGCAAACCTGGGGAAACGCTGCAGCGACCCCCTGGTCTGAGTTCACTCACTGATTGTTGGTTACATTTACGATGACCCAGGCTTGGCAGAATCTAGCCGTAACGGAACAGCATTTTAATCTCCTGAACGACATCCCGCCCATGTTCCGGATCCTCTTTCTGCACCACTCACAGGACAGGTATGGCTCTTGCTCTGAATCTGGGCCCTTTCTGGAGTTTGAGGTGGAAGTTCGAGTCCCACCAATGGCCCACCCCCAGCAGGCCCCCTGTAAGTGAGCACTGGTCAGATGGCTCTGATCTGAGATGGGGGATGGTGCCAAGTTCTCTCCTAGTCCCCTAGGTCCTTGCTGACTGCCAAGAGGCCCCAGACAGTGAGAGGGTTGAGGTGTGGCACCTCGTCTCTGGCACAGGAACTTCAGGTTTGGTCTGGGGACTCTGGAGGGTCTGAACCTGAGTTCCGAAGGTCACCGTGACTGTGGGGGCAGCCACCTTCGCCAGGTCCCACTCTCTGTGGTGGTGGAGCCATGGTAACCTGCTGATCACACGCTGGCGGTCCAAGTGCATGTGCCTGCGTGTCCGTGTGTATGTTCACACCCATGCCACCCTGTGAAGCAGTCCCCAGGACGTGCTAGGACCCGCCAACTCCTCCCACAGGTCCCATCTGTATGGTGCCGCATTCGAGAGACCCAAGCTCGTTCCTGCCCCCAAAGGAAAACATGTATCTGTCGGTGGTGAGTTCCTGCTCCCTACGAGGGTCAGGGAGTCTGGCTGTGGACACTTTAGAGCAACAGAGCACAAAGAAAGACTTCCAGCCCTCGACAGCCCTGCCCCCACCTGCTGCACCACGCCGCCCCCTCCGATGGGCGGGGTCAGCCTGCCGGTGTGTGCTGGGTGGGACGGCTCTCTGCCTTTCTTGCTGGGGTCCCCCTTTTGGGAGCCATCCAGGTGTGAAATCTAGTTGGGGAAGGCTTCCACCCCCAGCCCACAGCCCCCGCAGCATCTGTTCCCCTCATACATGGACCCCACAGTGTCGCCACTCCCCTCCCCCACTGACCCTCGGCTGGCTCAGGGCTGGGCTCTTTCCTGTAGGCTGCTGCCACGTGGCGCGGGTGGCTGTGGACCCGGCCGCCCTTCCTCACCTGATGTCCAGTGTGCAGCAATTCCGGAGACAGTCCCTGGTGGAAGCCCACAGTGAGGACATGGACCTGAACCCCAGCTCAGTGAGTGGTCCACAGCCTGAGCTGACCTGGGCCACACAGCCTACTGGGCACCCGGGAGAGGCGGCTCAGGCTGGGGGCCCCACATGGAAGGTCAGCCGCTGGGCCATGGGGGATGAGCAGGCTGGGCTCAGGGGTCCAGTGTCCAGTGGGCTGGGCCCTTTTACAGCCATAACCCGCAGTGAGTTTTTATGGGATCCTTTTAGCTGCTTTCTGATTCTGGATATTGTTGGAGTAGAAACAGGTGCCAGAAAATGCTCAAATTCAAGAGGATGAAAATTACCGAAAAAAAGTTGACAAATTCAACAACATCCTGAAGACCTCGGAGGAATACCTGAAGCCACTCTTCCCACTGATGGGTTCTCATGAAACCAGGTATCACTCAGAGCCCCTGTGTGCCAACCCCGAGACTGTGGCCCCACCCTCAGTGGACGTGGGCTTGGGGCATCGGCAAGCATGTCTGAAAGCATAGGACACAGGGTGGAGGGGTGGACTCTGGGGTCCCAGTCACCCACGGGGCTGACCATGAGTCTGAGCTTCAGGATCCTGTGTCTCCTGGTGTCATCCAGACTCAAAGACATGCGCTGGTCACGGCTGTTATAGTGTGACATCACGGTGTACACGCAGCAAGCATTCTCGCTGCTGAAATGGGGCCATTTCTGCCTAGTCTGTGCCTGTGGGCAACCCCGCAACCCTCCACCCATCTCAAGCCTGGGTATGAGGGACATGCAAGGGCACCCAAGGATCCCTGTTGTGGGCCAAGAGAAGGACAATGACTGCCCTTGACACGACCTCACAACATAGGAAGGTGATGGTCTTGGTGGATGATGTAAGTCTACTTTTTGGGTAAGATTGAGTCTACTTTTAAAACCTGAATACACACCTCTGGATTTCAGAATACAAGTTCCCACGCTCATGGTGGATTCGGGCAAATACAAGGTCAAAGACAAAGAGAGGAAAGTATCTCTGCCACCAGGTGAGTCTGGGGCAGGGATGCTAGACCTCAGACACTGAGCTGGACCTAGCCCTGTGTCCACCTCCACGGTCATCACTCACGTTCCCTGGACTGAGGTCACAGCAGCCCTGTGTCCATCTCCACGGTCATCACTCATGTTCCCTGGACTCAGGTCACAGCAGCCCTGTGTCCACCTCCACGGTCATCACTCATGTTCCCTGGACTGAGGCCACACCAGCAACATGTGCGTGTGTATGTATGTGCTCTCTATGCGCATGTGTGTGCATTCATGTGTGTGCACAGTCATTGTGTGTACGTTGTGTGTGTGTTGTGTATACACTATTAAGTGCCGTCTAGTGCATTCCTAAGGAACTCTGGTAGCTCTGGTAGTGTAGTGGTTATGAATCGGGCTGCCAACCTCACGGTCAGCAGTTTGAAACTACCAGCGGTTCCACGGGAGAAAGATGAGGCTTTCTACTCTCGTAAAGCTTTACAGTCTCGGAAACCCTGTGCAGGGTCATTATGGGTCGGAGCCGACTCCACAGCACATAACAACAACAACAACAGTCCATTCCAACTCACAGCCACCCTGGAGAAGGTTTCTGAGAAGTGGCTGGCAGGTTTGAACTGCCAAACTGTTGTTTGGAAGTCCAGTGCTTATCCTACAGACTGACCGTGCTCCCACGTGGACACACGTAACCGACGCTGAGCTGTTGTTTCAGCTGCTACTGCCTCCGCTTCAGTTGCTTCTCCAGAGGCTGCGGACAACATCATCCTGATTGCGGACCAGCAACTCCTGGAGCTACCACTGGAAGGTCTGTCCATGTTCGATGAGGGGTCAGTGTCCTCTGTGTCTCGAGACTTTTCTCTCCAGATGCTGATGAATCGTCTTCACAAGGAGGAGACAGGTAAGGACTGTCCCTAGTCATGTTCATATTTAAATTGGCTAAAATGGACACATTGAAATGATCTTTATGATAAGAGAAGGCTAACTCCTGTCCAAACAATTATTCTGGGCAGTCCTTCAGTCCAAGACTCACAGAGAGCAACTGCTGTGAGTTGCTCAGCGTACAGGGAGGAAGATCTGTCCCCCCACAGAACTTCCCAGGACAGATTGACAGAGAGCCTCCAAGGAATGATTCAATGAAAGATTTCATTTCCTGGTGATCAGGAAGGCATGACTGAGACCTGGAGACCTGGGGGCTGGTCACTGGGTACAGCAAGCCAGGGGCCCCAGTCTGCAAAATCTCTCCAACACATATCACTGTCTACATGATGTAACATTTCAATAAAAACAGATTTAAATTCACAAGAAAGTAGATGCCCTTCTGCTTCGATCCAAGATGGAGTAATGAGGACCAATTTTTACTCTTCCAGTGGAAACTACTAGAAAACAAATAAAGAATGTGAAAGTACACACTTCACACTGGGTACCAGGCAACACTGGGCAGTGATCACCAAGTGAGTGCCCAGCTCAGGACTGAGGCGGCCTTTGCAGCCGTGGGCAGAGTGGAAACCAGGGAAGAGCTATGGCCTCTCCAAGTGTGGAGCCCTAGCTGGGAGTCACCAGGCCACTCCAGCGGTGAGAAGCTCAGAGGCCTGCAGGGCCCCTAGTCCCCAGCTGAGAAGTGATCCAGACCTGTGGGAGAGAGAACTGCCTGGGCCCAACTGAAACCCAGAGCAGACCTGTGGTCATCAAGTCAATCCTGACTCACGGCGCTTGTCCAGGACACCACAGAATTCTCCTTAGGGCTTCCAAGACTGTTAGGGAGTCTGGAATTTATGCCACAGGTATTTGAAATACCAGCAGGGTCACCCATGGTGGACATGTTTCAGCTGAGCTTCCAGGCTAAGATGGATTAGGAAGGAGAGACGGAATACCTTCAAATATTGAGTCACTGAAAACCTTAGGAATGGCGGTGGAACACCGTCAGCACCAGATTACTGACTATTGAAACATGATGAAGAGCACCCGGATGATATGATAACAGCGCCGGAAAGTGAACCCCACAGGATGGAAACCACTCAAAAGGCAGCTAGGGAAGAAGAGCTGCCTCCTCAAAGTAGAGTCGAGCATGATGGCACCAATAAAGTAAAGCCCTCGGGACCGCCATTTGCTGATGGGGCACAGCTCAAAATAAAGAGAAACTGTTGAAAACATCCATTTATAATTGGCCCATGAAATGTATGAAGTAGGAATCTAAGAAAATTGGAAGTTGCATAAATGAAATGGAACACATAGACATCGATATTCCAGGCATTTGTGAGCTGAAACGAACTGGCATTGGCCATTTTGAATTGGACAGTCACATGGTTTGCTATGCCGATAATGTCACGTTGAAGAGGAATGGTGTCATATTCATTATCAAAAAGAGCATTTCAAGATCTATCTTGAAATATAATGCTGTCTGTGATAGGATAAGTTAATATCACTATTATTCAAATTTATGTACCAAGCACTAAAGCCGGTGATTATGAAATTGAAGAGTTCTACCAGCTTATTCAGGCTGAAATTGATTACCCTGCAATCAAGATGTATTGCTAATTACTGGTGATTGGAATGCAGATGTTGGAAACAAAGAGGAAGGATCAGTAGTCAGAAAATATGGCCTTGGCGATAAAAACGATGCTGGAGATAGCAGGATAGATTTTTGCAAGGCCCATGACTTCTTCGTCGCAAATATCTCCTTAAACAGCATAAAAGATGACTTTCACGTGGACCTCACCAGATGGAATACACAGAAATCATATTGATTACATCTGTGGAAAGAGATGGTGGAAAAGCTCCACGTCATCAGATAAAACAAGATGAAGGGTAGACTGTGATTTTGCTCGTATGCAAGTTCAGGCTGAAGCTGAAGACAATTCAAACAAGTCCAAAAAAACCAAAAATGACCTTGAACATATCCCACCTGAATCTAGAGATCGTCTCAAGAACAGATTTGATACATTAGACACTAATGACCAGAGACCAGAAGAGTCATGGGGTGCCATCAAGAAGAGCATGCAGGAAGGAAGTAAAAAGTCATTAAGAAAAAAAGAAAACACCAAAATGATGTCAGAAGAGACTCTGAAACTTGCTCTCCAGTGTGGCCATGCTAAAGCAAATGTTAGAAATGAGGAGGTAAAAGAGCTGAACAGAAAATTTCAAAGGGCATCTCAAGAAGACATAGTCAAATACTAAAATGAAATAAGACCTGGAGTTAGAAAATCAAAATGTAAGAACATGCTCAGCATTTCTGACGCCGAGGGAACTGAAGAAAAAAACTCATGCCTCAACTTGCACTATTGAAGGATTCTATGGTACCATAGTGCTTACGAATCAGACTGCTAATCTCACAGTCAGTAGTTCGAAACTACCAGCTGTTCCACAGGGGAAAGATGAGGCTTTCTGCTCCCATAAACATTTTCAGCCTCAGAAACTCTGTACAGGGTTGCTATGAGTCAGAACCGACTCCACGGCTCATAACAACAACATGGGAAAAATGGACTCCTAGTGTGGCGCTGTGGATTAATGTGCTGGACTGCAAGGTCGGTGGTTCAAGCTCACCAGCCGCTGCTTGGAAACCCTATACAGGGTCGCTATGAGTCGGAACTGACTCGACGGCACACAACAAGAACAAGTGTGTGGTGCTGCTATAAGATCATCACTGGACCTCAAACCACCAAGTCAGCAGTTCAAATTCACCAGCAGGTCCTTGGAAATCCTATATAGGGTTGCTCTGAGTCTTAACAATGACAAGAATGAGCAAAGGATTGAATGTTGCAGAAAGCATCAAAAGATGGAAGCAATACACAGAGTTATTGTGCAAAAAAAAAAAGTCAATGTTCAACCATTTTCAAGAGATAGCATCTGATCAAGAGCCCGTGATTCTGAAGGAGGAAGTCCAAGGTGCACTGAAGGCATTGGCAAAGAACAAGGCATCAGGAACTGATGGAATGAATGCAAATTGGAATCTTTCAACAGACTGATGCAGCACTGGAGGCACTCACTCATTTATGCCAAGAAATTGGGAAGACAATGACCTGGCCAGCTGATTGGAAGAGAGCCGTATGTGTGCCCATGACAGACAAAGGTGACTCAATGGAACATGAAGTCGTCAGGCAATATCATTAATATCACACACAAGCAAATTTTTGCTAAATTTTAAAAAGTACATTGACAGAGAGCTGCCAGAGGTTCCGGTCAGATTTGGACAGGTATGTGGAATGAGGGATATCATTACTGATGTAAAATGGATCTTGGCTGAAAGCAGAGAATACTGGAAATCTGTTTACCTGTGCTTTATTGACTATGCAAAGGCTTTTGATTGTGTGGATCATGACAAGCTATGGACAACATTGCAGAGAATGAATATTCCAGAACACTTAATTGTGCTCATGATCAAGAGGCAGTTGTCCGAACAGAACATGGGGACACTGAATGGTTTAAATCAAAAAAGGTGTACGCCAGGTTGCATTCTTTCACCATACTTATTCAACCTGTATGCTGAGCACATAATCTGAGAAGCCAAGTTATATGAAGAAAAACGTGGCATCAGGATTGGAGGAAGACTCATTAGCAACTTGCGATATGCAGATGATACAAACTTGCTTGCCGAAAGTGAAGAGGACTTAAAATATTTACTGATGAAGATCAAAGAGCACAGCACCCCAGTGTTTTCAACAAAAATCCTCCCCACTGGACCAATAAATAACATCAAGCGAAATGGAGAAATTATTGAAATTGTCAAAGACTTCATTTTGCTCGGATCAACCATTAACACTCATGGAGGCAGCAATTAAGAAATCAAACGATGTATTACCTTAGGCAAATCTGCTGTACAAGACCTATGTAAAGTGTTCAAGAGCAAAGATGCCAGTTTGAGGACTAAGGTGCACCTGATCCAAACCCCATGGTATTTTTAATAGCCTCATATGCATGCAAAAGTTGGGCAATGAATAAAGAAGATGGTAGAAACACGGATGCATTGAATACGGGGTTGGAGGAGAATATTGAAAATACCATGGACTCTAAATGAACAAACAAATCGGTGTTGGAAGAAGTACAGCCAGAATGCTCTTTAGAAGCCAGGAAAACCAGACTTGGTCTCTTATACTTCGGACATATTATCAGGAGGGATCAGACCCTGGAGAAGAACATCATGCTTGGTAAAGTGGAGGGTCAGTGAAAAAGAGGAAGACGCCCAACGAGATGGACTGGCACGGTGGCAGCATCAATGGGTTCAAGTGTGGCAGCAACTGTGAGGTTGGCGCAGGACTGGGCAGTGTTTCCTTCTGTTGTGCGCAGGGTCGCGATGAGTTGGTACCGACTTACAGCACCCAACACCACCCACAAGTCATTATGGAACCAGACAACCTCCTCATTCTCATTTGGAGTGCCTGATGGGTTTGAACTGCTGACCTGTGGTTAGCAGTCTAGCGCTTAAGCCACTGCACCACCAAGATGTCTTTCAGGTCAGGTCAGGGCAGACCTAACAAAAGGAATCCTCGGAGCCCATGTCCCCACCCCCAGAAGGGTTTAGCCCACACTCACAGGCACTGAGCCATGTGACCAGAGGACTTTCCGGTCCCAGGTTCAAGGGCTACCCTGAAAAGGGCCCGGCCGTTTCCAGGGAGCTTAGCTGCATCTAAGAACAAAACTCAAAAACATTTATAGGAATGAAAACTATCCAGTGCCCAGTAAGCTAAAAGTCACATCCGGCATCCAGTCAAAATTCACCAGGTGTGCCAAGAAGTAGGAAAATGTGCCCTGTGATGAGGTGAGTCAGTATCCACAGAACGTAGCACAGAATGATGCAGATGACAGAACTAGCATACAAGGACACTGGACGCTATTCTAAGGGTGTCCCATGTGTTCACAGGGTAGAGGAGAGTTAGCGTGCTAAGCTCAGCCTGGCTGGGGAGTGGCTGGCAGGGGGTGGTCCCGGAGCCCCCTGCTCCCCTTTGGGAGGTGTCCTGGCAGACGGAGCCTTTCCAAGCCCTGTCAACCGGTACACTTGGGATACTGTTGTCATTTCAGCTTCACAGAAAATGTACACTCATCTGCTCTCCATTTCTTTGGCAGAAGGTGGTATAAAAAAGGAGAGCACAGTCAAAGAAACCAAGAGAAACCTAGGCAAGAAGGGCAGGAAGGTGGGTCAGAGAGGGCTCCCAGCACTGTGGTCCAGGGGTCTGCTGGGGCTGCCTGGGGGACATGCTAACTGCCCCTTCTGTGGCTCAGGGAACCCTGACCAGGATCCTGCCCCCAAACTGCATTGTGGTGGACTCCGACAACTTCAAGTGTATCCTTTCTGCTGGCAGCCTCCAGCCTACACCCTCACCTCACTCCTGAGCCCCGCCAACCCTTCCCCTCTGCCCAGTGGCCCCATTCTCCTTGACTGAGCCCCAGTCGTGGTGGATCCCTATGAGGAGGCACAGAGCATCGGTGAGCGACCTGCACACCACGGGGGCTTCTTTCACCCCCGCTGACTCCGAGCTAGATGTGGGACCCTCACCCACATAGTGACGTCCCATGGTACCTGCTCCCCTCACCCACGCCTTGATGCCTGGTTAGGCTCTGAGCTAGCTGGCCCCACGAGGTCTGATAGCTGCCACTTAAGTTGTTGTTGTAAGGTGCCATCGAGTGGATACTGACTCATAGCGACCCTCTGCACAACAGAATGAAACATAAGTAGTTCATGTTTTCTTTCGCTAAATGGTTATCAAATCCACAACAGGTCCACGCGTGTGAGCCAGTCCTGAGGATTCTGACTAGGTTCCACAGGCCAGATGCCGGGCAGTGTGACCAGGGTCACAGGCCGGCCCGCAGAGCTGGGTCCATGGACACCCACCCCCACGGCCCGCCCATCACACCCTGGGCACGCACAGTTCGGCCCATGTACACCGGACCCACGCACAACCTGGTTCATGAACGCCTGCCCCACGTCCGCCGGCCAAGAACACGATCCCCCCACACACTCCCACCCCACGCACGCCCCCGTGCCATGCGGGGTACAGGTCGCGTAAGCTGTCGCCCTTGAATTTCTCCTTGCAGAAATGCTGACTCCTGTCTCCGTGACCCGGGAAATTCTGGAACGATTTCGAGACTCGTTCACTGCCCGCTGGGTCGGGCATCTGGGGAATAAGTACTTTCCGAGGTTCGGGATCCGCGTTCCAGGCTGGGATGAGCTTAGGGGCAGGAGGGCGGCACAGAGGAAAATTCAAGGTGTCTCCGGGTGGACACGCCCCTCAGTGGCCCGGAAGCCCCTCCTTCCCCTCGGCTCCTTTCTGCAATCACAGCCCCGCCCCGCCCGCCTCATTTTCCAAGGCCACTCCCGGCCACCTCTGGTCTGCCCCGCCTACATACACACCCAGCCCCTCCCTCTCGTACAACCCTCCCTTTAGCTCTCCCCTAGCTGACCCCACTCTCCACACACCCTCTCCTGGCCTCTCCCCTCCCCCGTTTGATTTCTCCACCTCGTTCTCTGGCCCCCCTGCAATGTCTGGGCCCTCAAGTGCTCTAACCCCATCCACCCGTGTCATGGTTTGGGGCACTACAGGATCCAATACCCTGAGGACAGAGACCCCAAGAAGTGCTCTGAGCCCCAGCCTGCACCCTTGGCCCCCTCTACAGCTGCTCTGCTTCCTCGGGTCCCTCTTGGGACTGACGTCCCTCCCTTTCCATGGTGACCAGTTCCAAAGCAAGGCCGTCATTCCCGCCCACCTGCCCAGCTCTGCTGTTCCCCCCACTCCAAGCCATCCATCCCCACCTCTGTCCATGCCTCTGGACACAGCGTTCCTGTGACTACGCCGAGGGACAAGCACACGTCCCTCCCTACAGCTGACCTTGCCCTCTGGTGGTGCTGTCCATTTTGGGAGGCCCGGGTGGTCCTTCCTCACTGTGGGTTACACAGCCTACTAGGATGGGTGCTGCTCAGGGTCCCATGGGCTCTGCCCTGAGTGTTTCAGAAACTACCGCCTGCAGTGAGGTGGTATTGGCGCCACCCCCGGGGAGCCCACCAAACCGTCCTGCCCGCAGTTGCTGCACAAAGAGGGGAGTGGCCAGGGTAGGATGGGGGCAGGCATCAGCAGCAGGGTCTGTGGGGACAACTAGGACAGTCACTCAGTAGGCAGTGTGTGTCCCAGTGTTGGGGTGTTGACCTCCCCCATTGCTCCCCCCTGCAGCCAGGCAGAATGGGAGCAGGTCCTGGGCAGCTGCCAGGGTTTCTTCTTCTACGGGATGGAGAACTTCCTGTCCCACATCCTGGTGGAGAGACTGGTCGTCATGGACTTACATGGTGAGACGGGGCCTCCTGGACATCTCCAACAGCCGCTCCCAAGGTCCTGGCTGAGTCAAGGGTGGGAAGCATTTGGGGACACACCTCTCCCCACAAAGCCCTTCCAGTCTGACATTGGGGCTTAGAGGTAACAGGCCCCCTCAGGTGGTGGTGTGCCCCCCCCATGAGTGGATGAGGTGACCGTGGGTGACGTCATCGCGGGCTGTGTCCTGTCCCCGTGTGCAGAATGTCAGCTGGTAGTGCTGTTGGACTCCACACATTCCGTCGACAGCGTGAGGAGGCGTTCGGAGCTGGAGGAGACCAAGAGGTGGGCCCTGCCCAGTGAGAGGGAGGAGGCTGGGCTTAGGGACACCCTTCCTATGACCATGACCCAGACGGACAGCTCTGCTGGACACAGAGGGACAGCAGGTGGGAGGGTCAGGCATGACCAACACCTCGTGGCCATTTCTGTCCATGTGGTACTTAGGGGGTCCTATTTTAGAGACCTCTGACAACAGTGAGTCCCAACATGCAGTCTTGCTCTGGAGGCTGACCCAGAGGGCTTTGGTTCCTGTCCACAGCGCCCTCCAGCTGTTCCTGGAAAAGCCTGTCCAGACCGCTGTCCTCCTGAGTCTGGTGGGCATCGGGAGCATCCTGGGGAACCAGTGGTCCACACTGCTGCAGGACAATGCCATTCGGGCCAGCGCCCTGTGGGAGAGTGAGTGGACATCAGGGCCGCCGCAGGGATGGACTACCTCCCTGGACCCAACTGAGGGATCGATCTCTCGCCCTAGATCTGCTAACGGTTGGAAAGACGGTGGGGAAAACAGTCCGTCTTATCCAGAAGATGGGAGTCAGCGACCCCGCCATCCAAGGTGAGGTCACATGACCCCGACCCCCACCCCAGCACACACACTGTTTGCCCCTCCAGTGCTGCAGTTATGGGGTTTCTTAGGAAAGTAACAGCTTACAGTCCAGGTTCAAGAGGCTCCGAGACTGTAACTCACAGCCAGAGGGGCTATGGTCCTGGGACCCTTCAGTACATTCGCTCATCCGAGGGAGACAGGCCCACCCTGGAATCACATTACATGGAGGGGGAGGCGGATCACACATAGGCAGTGCTCTGAGCCCAGATGAGAAATTCAGGTGAACTCCTGAGCTGGAACCCCACCCTGCTGAAGAGAACTGGGTGTGGAATGCTGGATGGCCGAGCAATCTCCAGACCAGCCCACCTGCCCACCCCGGTGCCCCCAGGACGTGTCCAGGAATCCCACTAAGATTCCCAACTGCGAAGTGTGTGAATAAGTGAGTGTGTGAATCTGGGTGGGTGGATGGATGGATGAACATGGACAGGCGGGTAGATGAGTGAGTGAGTGAGTGAGTGAGAGAGTTCTGGACCCATCAGTCCCCTCGTGGGGCGAGAACAGAAACAACACAAACGGACTTCTTGATCAAACAAATGTTTCTGAGGCTGTATCCAGATGGCTAGCTCTCAGGGAAGGAAGGTTCTAGAATACTGGGTCTACAGATGTTTCTGTGCCAATAGCCAGTAGCCCTCGGATGGAGACCTTCATGCTTATTACCACCAGGAGCTTCACGGTGCAGGGACCCCAGGTCTAAAAGACACACTCGGCCGGCTCTTCTTTCTTGCTGGTAGTGACACCCCCTCTCTCTGCTCACATGTCTCTCCTTCTGTCTCTGGCTGCGGGAATGTTGTCAGAGGATCAAGGGTACTTCACTGCAGCCCACCCTTAATCTTCCCGATTACATCACTGAACTGGCCCCATTACATCATTACAGAACTGCCAAATCACCGAGAACCCTAATTTATTGTTTGTTGTTCTGAAGTGCTATGGAGTCCGTTCCGACCCATAGCCCCCTGTATAGGGTTTCCGAGGAGCAGATGGTGAGTGAGCATGAACTGCCAACCTTGCGGTTAGAACCAACTTTTCAGTCCAGCACATTAACCTGCGGCACCACACCAGGACTCTGACACATAATTTGGGGGGGGGGGAGGGACACACAATTCAACAGTGAGTGGATGAATTGGTGGGTGAGTGGACAGCTATCGGGAAGATGGGGGAGACAGGCTGGACCCAGCACTGACTCTGAAGGTGGACACAGCCCGGCCCCTCGGGGCCTTTGCAGGTGGCAGGTAAGCAACAAGAAACAGGCTGACAGGAGCCTCTGCCCCTGCCGTCATGACACACAATCAGCGGAGTTAAAGGCAGAGTCCGGCAGGGCCATCACCCTGGGTCCCCTGTGGAGGTGACCAGTCAGGGCCAGTTGCTGCCGCTTCCACTCCTACCCGGAGCCAGAGGTGGTGACAGGAGGCATGAGGCGGGGACCCTTTGCCAACACTGTGTCTGCTCTTCCCAGATGAGTTCGCTCAGGCCTCCAAAGACATCCTGGTGTCCTTCTGGGGACAGCTTCATCAACCAGAGCAACGCCTCGCTACCCTCAATCTGGTGTTGTACGGGTTACCTCACCAAGCCATCGGGTGACGTGTGCTTCCCAGGGCAGTCCTCGTGGGGGTGGAGAGCTCTTTCAGGGTGCAGGGGTGAGGGACAGATGGTGTTGATCCAGAAGAGATGTGTGGGTACCCCAGTCCGAGTTTCTGGGAAGCCCCCTAATGCTTCAGATACAGAGCGGTTACCAGAGGAAAATGGGTTTTGATTTAAGTGTTTTAATAAACAAACAAACTGAAATATCTAGTGGCATTTGTTCCCCACCCAGAAGACCTGGAGCCCCCATGCCACACCCGCATGCCTACCCTGCCTCTTGCTGGCAATGACGACATCTGCCCCTAACCACACCTCCCCTTGCCCCCCAGTCTACCTGCATCCCCAGGGTCCACTTGTCCTTCCCTCACACAACTACCCTCCTGAGGGGCTGGGAGAAACAAAGAGGCCCAAGATGACTTGAGGCTGACCCCGGGGGATGGAGAAGACAGGGTGGATCTACAGAACCATAGGGAAGCTTCCAGCACAGCCGGAAGACGGGGAGCGAGTGAGGAGGCCTGGGGGATGGACTGCAGGTCACCCCCACCAAATCATCCCATTCCTGGGGTCGCCACCTTGGACAACCCTCAGCGTACCTCTCTGTCCCACTTGGCCCCAGACTGCCTTGACCCAACTCTGCGGACTTCCCAGGGTCACCCAAGACTGGTGTAGAGCAGATGCGTGTCTCGAGGTGTGGGGCCATGGGTGAAAAGTCTCACAGGTGCAAAGGGACGTGTACCAAGACCACCTGGTCAGGACATGCAACAGTCCGATGTCGATAAGCTATTTCCACACCTACAGACAGGCTGATTAAGGGGTGGGGGAACCCCAGGCCACCCTTCCACAGGCCGATGTTCAGTTCCTCATAAAGCCAGACCTGTGGTCACCTCATCACCCAGCACCTGCACCTCTGGGCATTTTAAATAAAGCAGTAACAGGCAATTGTCTACAGGTTTTTGTGTGAATGTCCTTATTCCTCGGGGACAATGATCGCATAGTTACACACACACACACACACACACACACAGAGGTGTCGTGGAAACAGTGCTAGCTAAATCCAGCCACAGTCAACAGAAGCCCATGCACGCGGTTTGCGGAGCCGGGCGTCGCTATTTCTCTATAGGAAAGAAGGAGCTCATGTTAAAAACATCGTTAGGAAAACACAGTGCCTGACCAGGGCATCGTGGAAAGTGGAGGGTCAGTGGAAACAAGGGAGGTCTTCTAACCAGGTGATCTGACACAAAAGTCTCCACCATGGAGATGGCGCCTGACCGGGCTGCGTTTCGTCCTCTTATACACGACGACGTGGCCACCACCACCCTCTGTGTAAGACACAGCTCCGGAGAGAACGTACTCATGTACTATTTCTGCAACTTCCCATGAATCTACCATGAGTTCAACATAAAAAAGGCAAAAAAATGCATCTTGGGTAATATTGCAAGATTGTGATTCCCTTCTTTGTGTTAGAAAAGGTTTCCTTTCTCAAAGGTACACTTAAGCTTGTTCCACTTTAAAAAAGAAAGGTGCTCACTAATGACCAGGAAATAAATCGCCATCAGGCCGTGGTGGAAATATGAGCTTTCTTCTAGAAAGATGTTGGCACCTACCCAGACAACAAGAATAAAAGCTTCTGGAAATATTTCATCTTCACAGTGGTCCATCTTTTACCTTCAACCACGTCCACTCCTGTTAGAAATATGAAACAGAGAGTGCAATTCCGCGTGCGGCCGGCGCGAGAATAACTTTCTGAGTTATGTCCCAGCAACATAACAAATCACATTATCAATTAGCTGCTGTACCACAAGTGGCATTCGGTAATATATTCAAGCGTGAAAAAATTGCTTGGGTGAAATTTATGTAACCCTAAAAACTATAAGGAAAAGAAAGACCACTTGGAATTTATTGGTAATAATCGGAGACAGAAAATAATTCGAGTGGCAGGCTGAGTCGGGGCGAGGACAGCTGGGCCCTTAGGTCCTGGACACACAGGAGCAATGGTATGGGTCAGGGATGGGACACTCTGGCACAGAGGGCCCAGAAGGACCCATGTGCCAGAGCTTCTGTCTGTCTGCCAGGACATGTCACCCCCAGAACATGAAAGAGGGGAGAAAGGGCTGTGGGCGGCATCAGCATAGGTTCTCATCCCACCTGCCCTCGGGTGGATTATGGTCATTCCGGACCACCCTCTCTGGGGCCTGGCCTCCAGGTTAAGGACAGGTGGACTTGTCCCGTCCTGAACTGCACACACTCTTAGGTACTGGGGAGCCTTCCTGAACCCACCCCACCCGACCCCTGCTGTCAGGGACAATTCCCTTTTGAAAATGCCGATTTACATTTTACAGACTAAAGCTTGGTCGGGATAGTCCAATGTGAGGGTCGCACTGCCTTGGACACGGGAAATGGATCAAATTGGCAGGGGCTGTGTTAGACTTTTTACAGTGAAACGGGTTTGTAAAGTGTTTTATTGTGGGAGATTTGTCAATCACAACCTCATAGGACAAAGGAAACCACTCCTCATGTGGAGCAGCCAGCGCCCAGCAGGCAGCGTGGACCTCCTCAGTCTTGGCACCATCACGATGGTTTAAAGCGCCACACAAGGAAAAGTCCCACAAAACAGCAAGCCCTCTGCTGTAGGTGGACCTCCGAGCGCAGCACTTCCAACCCTTTCTCTGATGGGTGAAGGAGGGTCACTATCCCTGTCTCCTTTCCTGAGGGCCCTTCTCCTGGTCACCCAGTCTCTGGGCCACCCCTGCTCAGGACCCAGATCAAAGCCTCTCACTGTGGTTCAGAGCTGCTTCCCCTGCAGGGAGGTGGTGATGGTGGGCTTTGTGGATGAAGGGTCCTGTGGGCACACATTACCTTGTTCCTCAATTAGCCCAGACCCGCTCCCAGCCTCCCCACCAGGCATGGCTGCCTTGGCACCCCCTGTGGGGCAGTGACACCCCAGACTCCAGCTCCGCCCCTCCGACATGCACCCTGGTTTGAAGCACTCTCGATTCCCCGAGACCTTCCTAGGATTCCATGGTCCAAGGCCATCCCAGCTCTTCTGCTAGCCCTGCCTGCTTGCTCCCCCTACCCCCACTCCACCATCCATCTACAGCCGACGCTAATTCACAATCATAGTTAAAACTGGCCTTCAGTATGCTCTGGATGAAGAAATTCAGCGACTTAATAGAATGAAAATGTCCGTGGCCACTTGTATATAAATTTCTATTAAGTCGCCTCATCAAGCACCAGTGTCTAATAGTTTAATTTCTGTATTAAATAATTAAAACTCTATTTTCAATTGCTGTGAACAATTGTTTTCTTTAATGATCTCCGAAAGAGAAGCTGGGGGTTTTAAATCTTGTAAAAATGATTAAACAGCATCATTACCCCTCCTCTCTGAAATATAGCTCAGAAACTTTAACAAAGGCCATTTGTATTCAATTAACACTTCCTCCCATTAAGCCAAACAATGAGACTGCGCGCGCCACAGGTAACCCCTCTGTCCTCTCATTTTGCTATGACGATGATGAAGATAGAAGCAGCCCGTTTAATTATCCCATTTCCAACAGAGAAATTCATTTTCAGCATGTCTTCACCCTTCAAGTCCAAGGTTCCTGGGGAAGGAATGGTGAGCCAGGAAGGGCTACTGGACACGTCCCTGCAGACTTGGCCACGGGCCAGAACCCACTAGGAGTGACTGGTCCAAAGGGTCTGACCCCACGAGGTGACCATAAGTGAGACATCCACTGGGGCTGGCCGGACTGGGCTGGGAAGAACTGTGTCAGCTGACACGGGCAGGACCCCTTCCCCTAGAGCCTCTGCCACCACGATGAGATTGACCGAGCTGTCGTGGAGTTGACCCCCATTCAGAGCAGAACTGTGCTGCATAGGGTTCCGGAGGCTGAATTTTCAGAAGTGGATCACCAGATCTTTTTTCAGCGTTGCCGCTGGGTGGACTTGAACCTCCAACTTTTTAGTCAGCAGCTGAGTGTGCCTGACCTGGTCTCTGAAGGTCCTGTTTCTGGAGGCTGTCTGCTGTGTTCCCTGCCGCACACCACCACCAGCATGATACAGAGCTATGGCAGCTCCGGGAGCAGCCGGCCCCCAGTGGGGCTCTGTGTGGATGGCCATTCGTGTGCCCATGTCCCAGCTCTGGGGCCAGCTATGCAGTGGGACCCCTGGGGAATATCATGGCGGGAGTTTTACTCCCCTGTCAGGGTGATTCAAGGGATGAAGCCACCCCCAGCACTCGATCACACGGGACAGCACAGCCAACACCATCTAGCTATTTGACGTTTTTATCACAATTCATCGAGACCAAAGAGAGATGACTAGATTAATGCCCATAGCAGCCGGTTAATGGCCGGGATGGAGCTGGAGGGCCAAATGGCAGGGGTACTCTCAAATTCGCCCATTATGGATTTTAATTCCTGAGCAGGCGGCAGAGAGCCTCTCAGATAATGAGGTGAACGCAGCCAGTCCTTGTCTGTGCCCTGGGGTCGCCTCTCCCCCTCTGTGTTCCAGGCACCTGCTCCATGCCAGCCCTGGAGGGGGTGGGGCACATGAGGTACGTGGAGTGACCCCCCTGGGCACAGATCCATCCCTGCAACTCTACGACCAGGACCCCAAAGCAAGTGGCAGGGTTGAGTGATCTAGCGGCAGCAGAAGCTTGGCAGGAGGCTGGACCACCACATCAACTATGGGGGGGGTCCCACTGGGGAGCCCACAAGGTGAGCTTGGCAACCCACCCCAAAGTGTGACAAAACAGCCCACCCATTCACTTGGACACTTCCCCAAACCAGGCCCACAAGGGGACAGGTCCAGTGAGTTCCTGCCTCTCCTCTCCGTCCCCCAGTTCCCATGCCCAGAGCCCCTGGGTTCTTTGCAGAGCCCTGGTGTCCTTCCCTGGGCCAGCAGTGACAATCAAAATCACTAATGGGGCATCACAAAGACTAAGGAAGCCGGTAACAGGTCCTCCAACCTCCTCTAGGTCCACATGTTCCAGCGCCCTTTCG